GCTTCACACGCGAGGATCGCGCTTACGGCGCTTCGCGCCTTTCCGAAAACGTCCGAAAACGACTGTTTTGCAGTCTAGGGGGAATGGGGCAGGAGGTGCACACGTGAAGGAAATGACTGGAACCATTGACACGCCGTCTTTTACAGATGTAGGTAACAATGGCCTTTACTCAGGAAGTGAAGATATGTTGTAACAGCTAAAGAGTCCGATTGTTGTCTACTGGAGTTGCACTTTGAGGTCGAGCCTTAGTAGCATGTTACCTAAGTTGCTGAGATTTTACCCATGAGCGTGACATAAGGATCGCGGTGTTACGTGTCTCTGAAATAAAGTGTTACAAGGCCCGGTGTGTGTGTCTGTCTTTGAGATATTGCTTCTTGGGTCTCATCAACATCAGTTTATTGTTGTTATAAACTTGAACTAAAGCATGCGCACATTAGTTGAGCCTGCGCTCATTTCGACTTTGTGACGCCAATGCTTCCAATAGTTCAGTATTGGCCGTCCAAACAAAATTATCTGGTTTGCGTTTTCAAATTTATCTACTCGAAGGGGCGTTTTTGAAGGTTCCATTTTCGGTGGTCGAAAATGCCGTTTTAGTGCGCATGGAAGATCGGAGAAAAAAGTTCTGAAAGTAGATTAGTATCGAACCCAAGCCTAAGAAAACTAAATACAAGCGCAAAACTTAGTGGACTTAATTTCACAACACATGGTCCGTTAGCCTTTAAAGCTGGTTGTAGTTCTCACAAAATATTAGGAACACCTGAGTTAAGGTTCTCCTGAATTTTTTTCCCTTCCCATGTAAAAAATCTTTCAACAAGGGATAACGTTTTTCAGTGGTCTCTTGAGCAGGAAAGTTTCCACACAAAAGAAGTATACGTAACGTTTGATGTTGAGAAATTTCGATTCGTAACAAAACTTTGCCAATTTTCAAAGAAATTTGAACCAAACTTGAAAACAAAGCCTCGCGTTTTAAAGTTTATCAGTGACCCATCTTATAATCCAATCCAATCATCTCTATCGTTAGTCAACCTCGCTTCTTAATAATTTTCAATTATTTGACCAGCATACAAAAATTTATAACGACGGGTATAACGTTTCAGACAGCGCGGGAAAATGGCATAAGGGAGTTCACGATTATTGATTTTGTTTTCGTACTTCATCTTCAGAAAAAATTCGTTGTGGTGAATAAATGTTAGGTTAGGTCAATTACCTGTTTTTCCTGAGCCGGTTTTGGCGGTGGTGATTCTAGTGATATCGTCACAGGACCATCATTTTGAATGTGAACCTGCATGTATGCTCCAAATTTCCCATCTAAAAAGAGAGGAGAACATTTATTTACTCGACGAGAGCGCTTTAAAGGGCGAGGTCGCGTCACATTTATGGGACGCTGTGAGTTTTCCCGTCAAGTTTACTGTGATTGGACAATTTAGAGGCGACACTGCACGTTGATTGGGTGACATTTTGTATTAATGTTTCTCAATCATAAAACATCCCAAACTTTCCCGCCAGTTCAGGACCCGTGACGCCAAAGGTCACTGCGATTGGACGATTAAGCGGGCCGTCGTTCCTCGATTGGTTAATATTCTATACAACGTTCCTTTTGCTTGCACCGGGCATCCGAAACTTTCCCGCCACTAGGAGACGCGTCACGTACAGACTCAAAATGATTGGATAATTTATAAAGAGATTGCAAGTTCATTGGCTAACAGTTCCATACATCAATTGGCATTACCTTTAATTGCATCAGTTCTGTACACTGTCCTCATATGGTTCAGAAAGTCTTGATAAAAAGCCTCACTTTGTTCACCTCCCATAGCAAGATGATAGTCTGGCTTATTACCTTTAAGAACCGCTTGTAGTGTGAACTAGACCAAAACAAATTGACAGAAAAAACAGCGTTAATTATAACAATAACTTGGTCTGAATTTTTACAAAGACACGGTTGATTTGCTTATCAGTTTTATCAAATTTCCGTTTTATGTTTGTTCTTTGCTTGTTTTCTGTTTTGTTTTGCTTTGTTGTCTTTTTGGTGAACTGACAAGCTGTCAGCATAGTAAATTTTAAGCTTAGCACCTCCCCTAAATCACAGGATATAATTGTTTTATTGTGAAGTTTTAAACACAATAACTAACTGTAATAACTAAGGTTTTCGATAAACAATTAAGAATAAAAAGCAGCGATATTGAAGAGTGACGTTTCGACGGCTCCATGCCATCATTCTCAAATTCAAATAAGATACGTTATGTGAGTTCATTATCTAGTGAATGTACGAGTGAAGGTCTCAGTGCATACGATTAAGAGATAAAAATAATCGATGAATAAAAATACCAAGCATGGTGCGCTTGAACTGTCAAATAACTAACTGAACAGAAGAAATGTGACGTTTTAAAAGCAGCTCTGCTTGGTTGGTAAATAATCAGCAGCACAGTCTTAAACAAGGAGTGGTGGCCATATTAAAGATGTAATTAGTGTTTTGAATAATCTGCATAGTTAAGTTAACATTCCTATAAAAACAGAGCTTTTTGCACTTTCTGGCCATGCAAAAATTGGGGCTAGACCAAAACAATCCATGAAGCAGGGGGTAGTGGGGCAAGCCCCACCATCCCTGACTCCTGACTTTCATGTGACCACACTTGGTTTGTTTGCTCTCTTTCAATCTCAAGGACTGAAACTTGCCAAGATTATAAAATGGTTCTCGGTAACAAGCAGTAACAAGCTGATTTCTACATTCCGTCATGACAAAAGTACATTGAGGTGTGTATTCTCACTTGGAAATACCAGGGTCATGTAGCCATTTTGTAGGTTTTTTGACTGTTTGTTAGATTCCCTTTGCCACTAAATTGTAATGCAAAAACTACTGAGAACCCTGGTTATAAGCTTCCATCAATACAACCCAGTGACTACTGGGACACTAACAACCTAAAACTGCTTAATGCATGGCTTTACATGCATTATTTCAAAAGGCAATAGAAAAAAATAAAAATTAATGAGTTCATTTATTCTTACCTGGCTCACACACAATACTTCAAGATTTTTATCCACAACAGACTTCTTCCATCGTTGTCCATCATCATCAAACACTCTTAAGTTTAAGATTTTTCGCACCCTTCACAAAACAAAATCGTGCCATTTATGAGAGAATAGAATATCTGTAGAATATCTCCAACTTCTTACATTCTTTCTGGCTGGCTGTTAGGGAGAGAAGGGTGGGTCCTGTTGTGTCGCTATGGAAAATACCCATTCCGACCTAGGATAAGTCACTGGAAATTCCAAGCATTGGGATGCAATTTAAGCTGAAGTTTTTAAAGGAAAGTGTGAAGTTGAACTGGAATTTTCAAAACGATTGGAAGGAGGCTCTTACACCAAGGCATGAGATGGGTGTCAACATTTTCTGGAACAGGCATGTTTAAAACATGAAATAGCAAAATGGCACTATGAGTAAGAGTCAGTGTGGGATATCGGTGCCTGCAAGAGTTGCCCTTACTATTACTGAGAGCTAAACACTGTTGGTATGCTCGACTCTGGAGCAAGCAGTCCAGGTTTGTGCCCTGGCAGGGGACATTGTATTGTGTTCTTGGGCAAGAAACTTTACTCTCACAGTGCCTCTCTCCACCCAGGTGTATCAATGGGTACTGGCGAAATTAATGGTGGGGGGTAACCCTGCGATGGACTAGCATCCCATCCAAGGGGGGAATGGAAATACTTCTGGTCAGTTCATGCTACTGAAACTGGATAAGCTTCGGCCTGATGAACCATTTGGCTCGTATGCAGACTTTCCTTACCTTTACCACTGTTAAGTCAGTGATATTTAGGCTAATCTGAGCACTATTTAGGCTAACCTTGGTGTCATTTCACCATTTCACCATTTTGTGTTTTCAACACGCCTTCTGGAACTGCTTTTTTCAAATTTAATTATTTTAAGAAAGAGGGGGCAGTTATCCAAAGAGAGGTAGTATGCATGCGTCCTTGAAAAAAGTACATTATGCACAAATATTGCAACAGAAGGATTAAACTCACATATATTCAATGTCCTTAGGAGTGTCATGTTTTGAAATTCCCAGTAAAACACAAAGTCCTTTACCAATGCTGCTGATTACTTCACCATCAACTGCAAAATATTGTAAATACGTAAATAAAAGAAATAAAAGAAATAAAAAAATAATCATTAACTTAAGTCAGTTTGTGATTCAGCAATACAAATGTTTCCCATTAAATAAATTACAAATATTGGAAACAAAGACGTGAATAAGTAGTGAACCCTTACACTACATATCTTTGTTCAACGCAAACCCTTAGTACCTCTGACTGAGTTTTTATAATTTAAATTGATAAAATAATAATAATAATAATAATAATAATAGTAATAATAACAATAACAATAATTAATAATAACAATAATGATGATTTTATACATATAAGTAGTACTTCCACAGGGTGGCTCTTCGCCTACTAATAATTAACTAACTAAATTATATAGCTACAAACTCGAGTTTATTGAAAACATGTACTCCATGTTTCTATCAAGTTTTATATAATAAACCAATTTAGTTTTTATTGTATCACAGTAAAAAGTGGACGTTCTGAGGAAAATAAGTTGCAGGTGAGTGTTTCCTCTGCTTTTTTGAGTTTCTGCCGTTAAATTAAGGTTTTTCCATTTTCTGTTCAAATTGTTAGTGTTTTTATTTTTAACAGCTATTTGTTGAACAGTATCCAATTTGTTTATTATATAAAACTTGATAGAAACACAGAGAAAATGTTTTCAATTTGTTTTAGAAAACACATTGAGAAAAAGAAAGGAAATGTCACTTGGCAAAGCTTATTTTGATAATAAAAATGTAAATTGTCTTTGCTTGTACAATCATATACAGTAGTTGACAGTTTGCGCTAGATCTGTGTTTCTATCATACATGTACTAGTAGAATTCCACTAACTAACAATTAGATTTTGAACTCACGATTTCTATGAGGTGATAGTAGATTCAGCCTTCAGCCTGAGACATCAGCTATCACCTCATAGAAATCGAGAGCAAAATTTGCTTAATAATCTAATTGTTTTCGTATAATTCTAACTGAAATAAACGCAAATTACAGTTTCCAATTATTTTTCTACATATTATTAAACTTCATGCATCAACAAAGTTTCAAGAACTGAATTGTCATTGGAGATTTGCAGTTGTTTATGAACGTGCACTCATTTTTTAAATAATTTCAAGTCAAACACCGTTAATGACCTTCTTTTAGTTTTCTCAGGAAGTTAATAATTATCTTTTTGCATATAAATGTTCTTCCAACACATCAGGAAAACCAAAAAAACATTGCCATTTCGTAGACAACTTTCAACCACTACACTCTAATGGCTGATGGTGTATGAGCAGCTCAGCCAATCAGATTGCAGCATTTTCATTAGTACATGTATACTAGTACAATATTCTACTAAAGTGTTTTAGTGGATGATGAGACTGAAGGCCTTATCATTATCACGTTAAAGAAAATCTCAAGGTGGTAATCTAATTGTTAAAATTTGTGGTTCCAGAAAATATTCATACCCACCCAAGTAGGTAATTTCTTGTAAATTCCAAGGGGTCGAGGAAGGGGGGGGGGGGCGAATGGGGTCTCAAACATTTTCAAGGAACTGAAATTTCCCGAGGGATTTGCGGGAAAGGTGCTTCAAACTAAAAAAAAATCCTCTGTGGGAGTTGAGGAGTATAACTATTTTTATCGGGAACAACATAATAGAAGTACAGCTTGTGGCAGGTGCTTCCTTACAACCGTGTTTTCTAAATGACTTTACAAGCTGTCTGAGAAAGCTGTGCATCAAGCAGGGAAATAAATGGTAATTTTAAAGTCATCTGTGAGTCGGAAAGCGGCATTACTAGTACTGGGATGGTAGGTAAACTGCTGATCAAACGACGACCATTCTTAATTGAAGAAAATGCCCTAATAAACGGGAATTATCTTACAAGGAAATAAGCTTGCATGCATGCATAATGCACCTCAGTCACAGCTTCTAACCGGCTGTAAATTATCTGATAAAGAAAACCTTACCGGAAACACTTGCCTGTGTAACACGCTGGATAATTGCTCTCATCGGGACCAATGGCTATCTGTTGATATGGTGTAAGAAAGTTAAAAAAATAAAAGGATCGTAGGAAAGATCTAAAAATATCAGATCGACAGATCAGATGAAAACATTACCGCTCCAGCTCAGCGGCATTCATAAGCATGCGCAGAGAAATATATTCCCAGTCTTCCACTCGGCATCTTCGCTCAAAAAAATTCCTTATTTGCTCAGAAGGTTTACATTGTTGTCGTTCGCGAAAGATGGCGTTTGGGTTATTTGTTGGGGCTATCGCTCTTTGGTACCATGTCTCTGCGTTCTGTTTTCTTTTGAGTTACTTTGTCTCGCAGTTGTGAACTTCGACGGTCAAGTCGGTTGCTGGACTTCGAGGAGAGAGGCGAGGTTATTAAAAAGTCGCCGCTTTACGAACACAAAGCGTTGAACTATGGTGAATTTTTACAGGTGGATAAATCTTGACGCAACTGCAACAAATGTTGACGCCTGGTTCCTTGATGTACTAAGTCTTTTCTTATGAGCACGACTTACTTTGAAGGCCGATCGTAGGGAAATTGAATTATTTCTGGCTTTAGAAACTCTATCCCGTAGCAAAGCCTCTCCGAAACAAATTACTTCGACACAAAGGCCTCCTTATGCAAACAAGTCGCCAGTCTCAATGGAAGAAAACGTGCATCGACGATAACTAAAGGCAATCGTAAGATATCGATAGACAGTTTCACAAGAAGTTGAAATGGAGGACTTTCCTGGTTCAAGTTGTAGAAAGATCGACCACAGAAACGTCTAAAGAAAACTTTGCGTTTGATAAAGGACGAATTAAAACTTCGCCCATGCAGCAGTGAACAGGTGACACTTGAAGAGCTTTAGCGACGTAGCAAACGGCTTTTGTCTCAGGGATTAAAGTGTGGACAATTTGGGATCCTTGATTCTGAATTCGGACTGAATTGAAATATAGAGCAGAGGTGCGCTGAAATATTATTTCGTAATTCGTGAGCTTGCTATTTCACTAAATCGTCAGTTTTTGTACGTCAGTTTCGTCAATAACTTGCCACTTCTTCGAAATTCGGACACCTTCATCGACTTGTATGATAGAACAACAAAAAACCATTTAAATATGCTACGCAATAAATTCGAACGAATGATCGAAAATGAAGTACAATAAATATAACTAAAGCGGCCATCAAACGGTGGCGCCTCCCTGGATAATATTATTCGCTAACTGAAATTTCTTATTGGCGACGTTGATTGTCAATTCTTGAGACTTGCAAAACAAACAATTTTGATTCTGTACACACCAGTAATAATCAAGATAGTACTGTAATTTTTACTTCTGTCCAATTTACAAAGACACGGTAGATTCTGGGGCATTTGGCATCTATCGTGCGTGCCCGCGTGAAAATTAGCGGGATTCTAATCAACAAGGATGGCGAAAAAGACGGCTAAATGACGTGTTACTTGTAAATGTTGATAAACACAGTCCTGAAATAAAGGTTATTAGTTTCAAAAATTCAAATTTGACTATTTATTGGTCGTTTTAATCGCAAGGATTTTTAGAAAAATCGTGAAGTGTGTCTTCAGCACTTTTGCCGGCCATTTAAATGCAAATAAGTCGTTTAGTAAATGCAACGCAAAATTTCACCTTTAATTAAGGAAATTTATCGAATTTTTCGCATAAATATTATGACAAAAAGAAAATTCTGTGGCCTTGCAGGTTATTAATGCATTAAACCAGTCTTTTGGAAAACAATTTGGGGTCAGCTTTCAGCGATTTAAATTTAAAGATCCCGATTCCAATTTGTTACGTTCAACTTTAATTTATCTCGTCACCAATGACCATGTGTTTTGTTTTTTTACGCAAGTAATTCGTTTTGTGGTGTAACCACCTGCTCCAAGAAACAATCGCCTGACTTGATAAAGACTGGTTTTATGACAAGATCA